CTGCGCAGCCTGCACCGCGTGCGCGAGCTCGAGGCGCAGGCGCGACAGGTGCCGAGCCTGCAGCGCTGGGTGCGGCGCCTGGAGGCGGAGCTGCGGCGGTACAGGTGAGCGGGGCGCGGCCCCGGGCGCAGGTCGGCTCCCCTCGCCCAGACCTCCCGCGCGCTCGCGCGGCCCCACGGTGCGTTCACTCACGTATGGCTCCATTCACTTGTGGGTCCCCGATTTGTTGTCATTGTCCGTCCATCCATCTAGTCCCTGTTCACCCACAAGGTCTAGAGAGTTGTCCGTTCAGCTTGCAGTTTAATGTATTCGTTTTTATTTGTCCTCCAATTTGATCATAATGATAATAGCGAACAGTCGCTGAGCACTTACTGTGTGCCAGGCTCTGCACTAAGTGCTTCGTGTGACTTGACTCGTGTAACGCTCACAGCTGCCCTGTGAGGTGGGTGCTGTTCTGATCCATTCTACAGATGAGGAAGCAAGTGTATAACGACTCCTTGTGCTTGCTGGACCAGGGCTGGAATCGGGACCAAGGTCCAAATCTTGGCAGGGCTTCTGGCAGATGTGTGACTTGGGGCAGGTCACTGCCACTCTCAAAGCCTGTTTCTTCTTGAGGAGAACACAGATTGGAGTGCCTTCCTGCCACAGTGGCTATGAAGAAGAGGCGTGGTGGGTGCTCAGTGAGCAGAACCCCCTCCCTTTCAAATCACAAGGCATGGCGGAGCACGGTGGCTCACGCCTGTAATCCTAACACTCTGGGAGGCCGAGGTGGGAAGATTGCTTGAGCTCACCAGTTCCAGACCAGCCTGAGCAAGAGCCGAACCCTGTCTCTAAAAATAGCCAGGCATTGTGGAAGGCGACTGTAATCCCAGCTACTCTGGAGGTTGAGGCAAGAGAATCACTTGGGCCCAAGAATTTGAGGTTGCTGTGAGCTGTGACAGTACAGCACTCTACAGAGGGCAACAAAGTGATTGTCTGGGAAAAAAAAATCAAATCACAAGGTGCTCCTGCCTGCCACCTCCCACATTTACTGAGTACCTTCTCTGTGCCAGAGGCCATGACAGGAACCAGGGAGAAATCTCTGCCCAGAGCAGTGAGACCCTCACAGGAGCAAATTGCCTGGCAACAGGCCAGGTGAGTGCCAGCAGCAAGGGGGGCCTGCTGCAGGCTCAGATCTGCCCCTGGAAGAAGCAACCTTGAGAACTGAGGATGGGCTGTTACCTGCCAAGATGGCTGCGAGAAGGAGAGAGGAGAGTGTTCTAGAAAACGGTGACTGTATGGGCAAAGCCCTGAGGCACATTCCAGAAACTAAAAGCTGAGCTGAGGGTTGGAGGCCCGTTAGGGCGCAGAGCAGGTGGCAGGGATTTCAGTTTTTCCCTTAAGAGAATATGAAGGGCATGGGAAATTTTAAAGTAGGAGGTGACAGAAGAAGATTTGTGTTTCAATTAAAAATTATCCCAGAAAGCTGGACATTGTGGTGGGCACCTGTAGTCCCAGCTAATGGGGAGGCTGAGGCAAGATCACCAGGAGTTTGAGGTTGCTGTGAGCCATGATGCCTTGGCAGTCTGCCAATGGCATCAAAGCGAGACTCTGTCTCAAAAAATAAAATAAAATAAAAATTATCCCAGCTACAGTTTGACAAAGAGATGGGTAGAGGGGGAAGAGCAGGAGACAGAGGGGAGCTTTCTGGGGGGGGGGGAGGTCAGGGCAACCAGAAGAGGTGGCTTTTAATCTAGCTGCTCAGGGGTGGAGCCTTGTCCTTGACTTGCGAGGTGCTCACAGCTGGAGTGAAGAAGGCTGGAGGGAGGCCTCCAAGAGGCAGACTCTGGGCCAGCCTCCTGTGGTTCCAAATGTTTTGATAGTCATTTCCTGTTTGCATAGCTGATCAGCTAAAGAGCTGGGCTGGTTGGCTCGAGGCCCCTGTGCAGCCTTGGAGCTTTCTTTAAGAGGAGAAATAAAGGGTCTCTTCTTTGTTTTGCCCTAAAATCACAACCAGTCCTTATAGCATGATGGCAAGAGCAACTACAGATACTGGGATAGTCTTTTACAGTAGAAAAAGTGAATTCCTACCCCTGGCACCGTTTCATCCTCACAAGACTGTACCAGTAGGAGGTTTTGTCCCTTTGCTGTTTGTGGGACGTGCATCTCTGAGAAGTTAAGTAATAGACCCAAGGCCAGACAGCCAGAAGGTAAAGCCTCCCTGTCCCCACAGCCTGTGTTCTTTTTCTTTCCACTTCATCATTTTTGGTTGTTGATTCATGGTTATGAGATGGCTGCTGCACCTCCAGACCTCGCATCTACTGTTCAGACAAGGAAGAAGGAAGGGCACTATTAGGGTGTGGGGGGTTTTCTCCCACAGAGGCTTTGCCTTTGCGTTCCCCACCAGAACCTGGACCATATCTATGGGCCGAAGCTGTGTCACAGGGCTGCGTCCACCTGCAAGGGAGTCTGGCATGTGGGTTTGTGCCAGGCACACTTGGAGTTCTGTTAGTTGGGAAGAAGGAGAAGCAGCTACGGCAGAGGCTCTGAAGGAGGTGCTGGCAGGTGCTCCACCAAGGGGGGGAACTGAGGGACACTGCGTGAAGGGCACACAGTGATTAGGTGGATGGCTCTGCCTGCCGCTTATTTCTCTGTCCCTCGAAAACCTTGTCCAGAAGGCAGACCTTCTCTGCCTGTTTTCTGGGGACAGACTTACAGGCTTATGGACTGACTCGTCCCAAAGCTCTCACTCTTTGAAGAAAAGAGTGAACCGAGCACTTTCCACGTTAGCTCACGTGGAGCCTCTAAACCAGCCAGAGAGGAAAATAGTATTATCTTCATTTCACAGATGAGAAAATCAAGACCAGAGAGGAAGCAGCTTGCCTGAGTGGCACAGGAACTAGGCAGCAAGGGTGGGATTCAGACCCCAGCCAGAATGGCCCCAAGCCACACACCCCAGTTGGGTTTGGCAATGTGATCAAGTCCTCTGGATTCTGCCCTCCAGAATGAAGGGGGTTTGTGGGTTGCAAGGTCATCTCTGCTTTTGCATTTCAAGTACCAAGAACTCAGAGGTGCCTGAGCCTCACCATCCCTCCCCTGCCGCTGTCCCATGGGGCAGCCTGTAGAGGAGTCCCAAGGAAGAAGGGGCCCTGCACCCCAAACACCAAACAGCAAGCCCTCTTAAGTGACATCGCCTGAGAATGCCTCCAGGTGCTCTGCAGATGTGTCTGGGGTGGTAAAAAGTGCCATGATCAAACTCCCCCCAGGGATGACAGCTTGAAGCCATTTGGTTAGAATGAGTGACCTGACTCATTCTTTTCCAGCATCTTCCAGAGTCCCAAGCACTTTCACAGACACCGACTCACTCTAATCTTGTAGTCATGCTCTAAGGTTGGTATGGCGTCATAGTTTTCAAATGAGGAAATAGACCCTTTGGGGCTGGGGGTGGTTTCACTAAAGACACATACCCAAAACGCAGCACACCCAGAACTAAGACTCTGAATCAAATTCTTCCACTTCCCTGAAACAGGATCTCAATAAGTGTTCATTTCTAGGACTTCTACTGAGTTCTTTTTCAAACTGGCAGTTTCTTTTTCATCCTGCTCAGTCCTTAAGTTGTGGGTTCTACCCAACCTCCTAACATCTGAACATACTAACTTCACAGTCCCCACTGGATTTCTGGAATGGCTGAGCCCTCCAGGTGTTCCACCTCTGCTGTCTTTGTCATGATAAAAAGCACCTGGTGAGCTTTGCTGTTTTGACTGGGAGCCCATCTTTGGCAGAGCATTGACCCTTGAGAGCCCCACCTGGAATCAAGGTTGTGGGGTTCCCTTCACAGCAATTCTCCATCTGCAGCCACCAGGTTTGGATTCAAGACTAACTTTTTAGTTGATAGGCGTGGAGTTTCTTAACTACACACGTAATGAGAAATTGAGTTCCATACCCGGAACAAAATCCCAAAGCCAACAAGTGGGATTTTTCTCATCTTTGGATGAGATGAGACAGCCCCTTCATGGCCCCTGACTCTATGATGCAGGGAGGTCTCCTGTCCCTGACCCCTCCCTGGGCGTCAGCTCTATCTCCTGCTCCCCAGGCAAGCTGGAGCTGTCACTGTCTTGTTTTTGACCTTGGCTCTGTATTTTTTTAAACGGCTGTATTTTATCCAGCATTTCCGTGTTTGTAGATGGAATGGGTGCATTCCCAGCACCTCAATCAACCATCCTGACCACAGTCTAAGAGTATATACAGTAAATATTTAAGCAATTGGAGACATTGACTTATTCTTTCTAAACACCTGTGGGCCAAGCCCCAGGCCGGGTATCTTGGGGACACAGAAATGGCACAGACATGTCCACTGCCCTCAGAGGGTCTCCTGGCCTGAGGGGAGCAGGTCATCAACATACACGGTAGGACACAGATGTGCTGTGTGCAGAGAGACCATCAAAGAAGCTAGTGCTGCTTTCAGAGTTGTAGGAGTCCCAAGTCAAATAGAAGTATCCCACGTGTCCAAAAGGGATCTTCAGGCCTCCTAGAGGTAGGGCAAGTCTCAGGTGCTTAGCACCTCTGTTCAGACAAAAGAAGGACGGGCAGCATCTGGGTGGAGGATTTCCTCCCAGAGAGGCTTTGCCTTTACATTCTCCATCACAACCTGGACCACATGTGATGGGCCAAGACTGATGAGACAGCCCCCTGGGGGCCCTGACTTTATGCATGGAAGTCTCCTGCCCTCTCTTGTCTGTCCTGCCTGCTAAGGATCCTATCGTGGCCACAACAGCCTCTGGGTCCTACTACTTCCCAACAGATGTTGTCTGTCTCATGCTACCTCATCTGAGACGAGGAGACACTCAGCACTTTCTTCAAATCTCACACAACAGTCCACATTTTTGTGCATGGTAGACTTTCCTGACGATTGGGGGGAGGGGGACAGTGCAGTAATACAAACAGCTCCATGTGGAATACCTGATGTCACCATTCATGAAATGTTGTTTAACACACACTCAACTAAGGTGTTTCACTGACACTGACCCAACCACTCTCCTGTTTTTCTTTTTTCTTCCTTTTTTTTTTTTTAGACAGAATCTCACTCTGTCACTCTAGGTAGAATGCTCATAATCATAGCTCCCAA